TAAAGAAAAAATCAACGATTGAAGTTTTGACCAAATCAATATTAAGACACGCTTGGTAACAAGGAAGGCTTCAGGCTTAGCAACGTGGAACCTCAGGGAAAGGTTTATGTAAGGTTTTTCATGTGAAGCTTCCACATGTCTCCAGAATAAATTTAAGGACGAAACCCTGATCTTCAAAGGTAATTCAAAGACTGAAATTAGTAAAATCTGCAGATAATGTTGCTGTATTTCTTCACCTGAGGCTCCTGTAACTAGGCTGTCTATCTTCAGAGAATATTCTTGACCAGATGTGGCTTAGGCAACTTCCCTCGAGGACCCTATCATTTATCTGTGACACGATCCACACTGGCATTTGACGCACAAATCTTGTAACCACAACAGAAGGGAAAGAAAGAAAGAAAGAAAGCAGCAATACAGATACTATGACTGAAGTCAAGACACTTATTAACCCTCTCTTCACTCTACCCTATATTTATCTCATCAATGTTGAGAGTGGTCACTGTGTCGGAATGAGTAAATGTATATATTGTACTTGTCACTGTTTGCTGTATAGAGACATTGGCGTAAACATTATCTATACACTGTGGTCATTGCTTTCAATAGGTAAACATCTTGGACGTTGGTAATATGGTAGGCGTAATACTTGGTAACATGTTAGACTTAATGCTTGGTAACATGGTAGGCTTAATGCTTGATAACGGGGTAGGCTTAATGCTTGGTAACATGGTAGGCTTAATGCTGGATAACGTGGTAGGCTTAATGCTTGGTAACGTGGTAGGCTTATTGCTTGATAACGTGATAGGCTTAATGCTTGGTAACATGGTAGGCTTAATGCTTGGTAACATGGCCCCCAATTCCCCGACGACACTCATGGGATCCATTTGGGACACGCACGGGCCGCGCTGAGTTTATAAATGTGAGAACGACTGCATGAACGCGCAAGCCATAGATTACTAACAACTATTTGACCCGGCCAGGATTCAAACTCCTGGGCACAACGGACTCCGGACTCAGCGCAGCCCGTGCATGTGCCTGAATTTGATGAAAAACTGTACCCAAAATGGATCCATGAGTGTCGTCGGCGGTTGATCAGTCGTGGAGCTTAGTTAATAAGCACCAGGACTGACCAATCCTTATAGATGATCAATGGTGCAGTAGTCACGGTACTGTGTACGTTTAGGGGTGCTCCTGATTTTCGTGATGGGTTCAAAAAACATTTTTTCTTTTAGATCCCAACATGCCAAGTCTCCCAAATCGTTTACATAATTGTGTCTAGAGATGTATAATATTATAAGAGATAGTCATTTATCACTGTATATCACAGATGATATCGTTAGTATCTATATCTATCTTCTCGTTAACATCAACAAAAAGAGAGGCGTCGATTGAGTAAAGAGGTCGCTGGAGATGACTTTCTCGTCAAGGAAGGGTGGTGGGAATGAGTTGTAAGGTCACAGTGCCAAAAAACATGGGTGCCAATCCTCCTACTGACAGTCTTGCGAAACGTACAGCCTCATCTGCTCAAATTTTCCCACACTCTTCATGTGTTATATAGTTTCTCGGCTCTTATTAGGATGCCTGTCGCGTCTATATGTATAATGGAAAACGCTACTAAGTGCTATATATATATTTTTTCCTCCTCGTTACCATTGTACTCTTCGCTTTGTTACAAATTGCTTGCGAAAACAGAAACGTAAAGATTATTTAATTCTAGTTAAGTTATATTTTAGACCAACTCAACAGTGTACAAATGTTCGCAATAAAGCTAATTTGAACTGATTTTTATTTAAAATTTTTTGTGGCTATGAAAGAAAAAGCTTAAGTGTCTTCAAGGTTATTTTACAGAACTGTGCTTGGTAAACGCAAACAATATTGAGCTAACGTGTCCTGAACTTTGTCTCTAAACTACATATACAATACAAAATAAAACTGGTGTCATTTTTTTTATATTTAAAATCATACATCAGAAACCTAGGCTGAAGTATGTTGACTAGACCACACACTAGAAGGTGAAGGGACGACGACGTTTCGGTCCGTCCTGGACCATTCTCAGTCCAGGACGGACCACAATCGACTTGAGAATGGTCCAGGACGGACCGAAACGTCGTCGTCCTTTCACTTTCTAGTGTGTGGTCTGGTCAATAAGACAATATGTATATATTTAACAGTAAACAGCTACCCACTACTGAACGCAAGAAAATTGTAAGATAACAGAAAAATATGTTTGGGGTTGCAGTAGGCAAGTACATTAGTTATCCCAAACCTTACCTACAACTCTAATTCTAAATAAATCTACATTCTAAACAAATCTACTTTCAGGACTGTCCAACTCTGACTAGCCTTCCCCTTGGTCAGGCACGTACCCCCCTGGCCCAGCCACGAACAGCCCACGTAACGTCACCTTCGTCCAGCCCTACCATTGGCCGGTGATGCTTTTGGTCGTGGGGTCACTGGGGAAACGAGTCCCATGATAGTTTAGAGAGCTTGCAAGGAAATGAGGGAACTCCCGTATCCCCGACAATTCGTAACAATGATACATTGAACCCATCCTCCAAAAATTATAGAACGTCTAGCTAATATGGATGTATGTTCAAAATATGGACTTATATATATATATGTCACATAATTCCCCAGCATAGCAGAGGAAGCTGCCTCTTCCAACTCACCTTTGTTGTACATCACTGCATGCCATTATATATGAAGTTCAACCAAGACGTATGTCTGGGAATCACCCCCTAGTCACTCCCCATCTAAATTGTAAAGTAACTAAGAATATTTTAAAATTTTGTATAAAATCTATATTGTTTAATAAACCTGAAAAAGAAATTCCGATATTTAAAACTTGTGTATTGCTAATTGAAATTGAAAACTGCATCCTAAAATCTGAGTGTGTTAACAGAAAACGAGGAGAATTAAATCGGGGGAGGGAGTTGGGTAAATGTAACAGCCCCATAAGTACAATTATGCACTGGTTATGACAGTACGAAAGTGTACTTATTACACTTAGTATTAAATCGTACTGTCAATTCGGAGGATGGGTTGTCCAGCCCATAACAGTAGTATTATCCATAATAGTAGTATTATCCATAATAGTAGTTATTGCTGCTACAATTTTGGATGACAGATTGGACAAGTCGGCACTACAAGTTAATTGTGAGAACTTGACGATGACAAAATAAATAAGCAAACATTGGCAAAGGAACAGAGAAGTTGATTAGTGGAACAAAATATCATGACTTTTTAGTTCCAAGACAATTGAAACCTTTAAACGCAAACTAGTGTATTGTTTGGGGTGTTGAGAGCCAAGGATAGACCAACTGGCCTGCTGTATCATTCACCCCTGTTTTATCTCTTTATGGCCTTGTGTTTTATGCTTGTATATATATATACAACTTTTTCAGCTTTTTACTGTCATATGTGGAATCATAGTTTTAATTAATTAAATAATTACCCTAAACTACTTCAGTTTGGCTGCATAGCCTAGCACTGTAATTATTTATCTCAGAGCACGAAGTTCTGGGAGCCTACTTTATATATATATATATATATATATATATATATATATATATATATATATATATATATATATATATATATATATATATATATGTCGTACCTAGTAGCCAGAACGCACTTCTTAGCCTACTATGCAAGGCCCGATTTGCCTAATAAGCCAAGTTTTCATGAAATAATTGTTTTTTTGACTACCTAACCTACCTAACCTAACCTAACCTAACTTTTTCGGCTACCTAACCTAACCTAACCTATAAAGATAGGTTAGGTTAGGTTAGGTAGGGTTGGTTAGGTTCGGTCATGTATCTACGTAAATTTTAACTCAAGTAAAAAAAAAAAATCGACCTCATACATAATGAAATGGGTAGCTTTATCATTTCATAAGAAAAAAAATAGAGAAAATATATTAATTTAGGAAAACTTGGCTTATTAGGCAAATCGGGCCTTGCATAATAGGCTGAGAAGTGTGTTCTGGCTACTAGGTACGACATATATATATATATATATATATATATATATATATATATATATATATATATATATATATATATATTTTTATATATATATATATGTATCTGTCGTATATATATATATATATACATATATATATTTATATATATATATATATATATATATATATATATATATATATATATATATATATATATATATATATATATATATATATATATAATATATATATATATATCGCTAACATTATTAGCGCACCCTGCATCAATAGAATGTGAAATATTTAATGAATACAGAAATAACTTACCAATAATTGTGTATTTTACTTAACCAGAAATTGAAGTCAATTATCACAAGTGTCTTCATTTCAGGTAATTTTAACATTTAACAATAATGCAGGTAATTTTAACATTTCCACAACTTCCCCACTTGGTAGGTGTATAGTGCACGATAGATAAATTAAAATTTTCAAATGGCTTTTGGTTTATATACATTCAGGAATGCAACTAGATCAGTGTTGTAAATTGCTGAGCTAAGCGAATTTCGGGGGTTCAGTTCTTGAACCTATTAAGTGAATCTTTTCCTTTGCCATTAACGCACACCTCTTTAAAATGTCCAGAGTAACGCACGCAAGAGGTAAAACAGTTTCAAGCTCACCACGTCACAATGTAAGACAGAAAATAGATGCCTTTCACGCATGGTTAGAAACCCATAGAATTGGCAGCCTATCAGTTTGAAATTCAGATGGAAAATATCCTTAAGAATAACGGGGGGGGTTCCATTAACAAACTGCCAACTGCTATCCTCTTCGAGGCCACTAGAGAAGGTGGCCGTTTAAGTAAATAATCTATGAACTAAACCAAATATCCCTGCCATAATAATAGTAAAGTAAGACCTTGACCATAACCTCATCATGACGAATGTGACCTTCAGGTTATTGAACGATCACGCGAGACCTTGAAAGGACTCTAGGATGGAAGCGTCTGGCATATATACGAATCATGGTACACTGGGTGTGGAACGCCAGGCTGGGCAGAGAGCAGTAGGAAGAACGACCACTCGTTGCTCTCTGGGAAGCCAAGAAGACAGTGTACAGTGAGGGGCTTCACACACCTCCCTTGGATCCCAAAACTTGGCGACAGCTTCAGGGTTGGCCTCCAGCACTCAGGTACTGCTTCTAAACGCCCTCGTTTTATAGTCATATTGTTGTTGTATAAGGGCAAATGCATGTAAATTATATGCAAACATTCACAAACGTGTGAAGTTGTAATCTATCTGTTGATGATCTATCTGAATAATAGATGATAGCTTGAACTTAAATATTCCTAGGCCTAATATAGCACACATGTGTACTATATAAGGTCAATGATAGCGTGTATTTAACAGCGTATTTAACATATTAGGCTAAAGATTAGCATGTATTTAATGGCGGGCTTTAAGATTAGGCGTGCATTAGGGCCTAAGATTGTTAGGAGAGGTTAGGTCTTATGTTTATATTGTCGTTAAAATGTTTCCGGTTTGACCAAATTCAATAAGATAAAAGAAAGTTTTCTGGTGCTTCTATCACTACATTGTGAAACTCTTGAGAGAAGGAGAGGAGGGCATACAGAGAGAGAAGAGTAACACATTATGTAACAAATATATGCCAGTGCCTTGTAAAACTTATGTATATGTGATTTATATTATATTTTCTGAAATAAAGATACAAAAAAAGTGTTCCTAGGATGGTCAATATGTAGCCTTATATTGACAATTTCTATACGTGAAACAATTAACACTGATGTTAATTCTTAAAGCATAATGAATTACGTAGTTTTTAGAGGAAGAGATTAAGCACTTCTTACTTTACATTAATTATATTAATAAGCTGGCTCAATTTTTTTTACTTTTTTACTTTGGAGAATGCAGAAGCAAGAACTGAACTTTGTATGTTGGTTTTCAAGAGGCTTGAAGCCATTCCCAACCACAGCGCATTGTAAAATTTTGCTCATTGACGATTCTCTAATCACATCCAGATATCTTATTGCTGGGTGTACTTACAATCTGCACTTTAATAGTTTTTTAATTATTAATGCATTTTATGATAGCGTATGTTACTAATTGTCTATTTTCATATAACGACCTGGAGGCAGATTCATGAAAGCACTTACGCAAGCACTTACGAACGTGTACATCTTTCCTCAATCTTTGACGGCTTTCGTTACATTTATTAAACAGTTTACAAGCATGAAAACTTCCCATTCGACTGTTGTTATTGTTATAAACAGCCTCCTGGTGGTTCGGAGTTCATTAACTGTTTAATAATTGGAAACAAAGCCGCCAAAGATTGAGAAAAGATGTACAGGCTCGTAAGTGTTTGCGTAAGTGCTTTCGTGAATCTGACCCCTGATTCGGAACAACACTTTCCCAGACCTTAATTATGTGTGAGCATGGTCGAACAAGGCCACGCACTATTTTTCACTTATTAATCAGATCCCCTTTACCAAAATAAATATATCTGGTCTGGGCACGTTAAGAATTTACTATAAGAGAATAAACTACATGGAATATTTTCTATAATATCGATGTTAAAAAACATACCTAAGAACAAACAGTCATCTTTTATGAACGAAATTTATTTTAATGGCATATGATATGTCAACCCATCCTCCAGTTTAGCTAGTACCTATTGTGACTGTCGTCAATAGTCACGAATTCGTACATATACTTAGCTTTTAGATAGTACGTACGAATACTTACTAGTAAGGAATTCTTTTAAAATAAATGAAGCTAAAAACAAACTTAAATGTTCCCCAGGCCTAGTATAACACACATATATATTATATTAAGCCTCAGATATCGTGTATTTAGGCTAGGAAGGTTAGGTTAGGTTAGTTTGTCAAAGTAGAGGTTGTAAATGTATGCGCTCCGCAGCTAAAGGTTTCGACGCTTCCTCTGTGATTATCAATTCCTATGTTAGGATGTCTACCAGCGCTTTATTACAATATTTCATTTGATGTTATGATGTGAACATTAGAAAGTTCACTTTTGCAGAGTGATAGAGGGTTGGAACAAGTTAAGTGAAAAGGGGGTGGTTGGCCAAAATCCTCAGTAGTTTCAAAGCGTTATATGACAGAGTGCGGAGAAGACGGGACACCACGAGCGTAACTCTCATCCTGTAACTACACTTTGGTAAATATAGATAAAGTATAGTAAATCTGAGAAAGGAAACGTTATATATACATAGCTCACACACAGAGATTACACTAACGTGATGCGTCAAATGAACAAATGCATCCTCGTCACGCCCCTTGTGGATTTGTTCATATACATAGCTATTCTGGGCTTAGGTTGACAGGATAGTATCCAATGCACTATTTTTGCCACCCTTGCTGAATCCAAGATTACGATGAGACTGAGATTAATAGAAACTCGTCAAGTCCTCCAGAATGTCAATCAGGACTATATGTGCCAGCAAAAACGGCACAACTCAACCCTGAGCTTCAAGCTGTATAATGGATCTCCTCAAGATTCTAGTTGCGGGAGTGGTTGTGGTTTTATGAATTCTTGTAGGAAGCTTGAGTCCGAGTCTGACAATCAGTGTTGGTCAAGACTTTAATGGAGAGGTTCCTAATTAAATCTGGTCTCCGACAGTTAAGCCACGCAACATTTTGGTTTCCCTTTGTGTGGTTGCTTCAAGAGTATGATTGGTTGAATTTAAGTTGGTTTGGTGTTGGGCAATCACCCGCTGAAGGGTTATTAAGGCCACAATAGTTCAATAATCAACCAGCTCACATATTTGTCCTGAGCATCGCCAAGGCCGACGCATTTACAAGGATGGGAATGGGATCCACTACCACTCACAGGATGGGTATGGGATCCACTACCACTCACAAGATGGGTATGAGATCCACTACCACTCACAGGATGGGTATGGTATCCACTACCACTCACAAGGATAGGTTCACTATAGGTAGATATAGTGAAAGCCTATTAAATCTGGACTAGTCTGGAGGATTTAAAAAATAGCCCACCATGATTGCTTACTGATTAGCCAGAAATTATACTCTGGTCCCGAGTATAGTGTCAAAGAAACGCACACTCAGTATATAAACAGAAGCAGGGGGTGCAATTAAATTTGGCCTCCAACAATTAAACCCCCCAACATTTTGGTTTGCCTTTGTTTAGTTGATTGAAGAGTATGGTTGGTTGTATATATACATATATATCCCTGTTTAGGCTTGGTTTGGTGTTGAAGGGTTATGCGCTGAAGGGTTATTAAGGCCACAATAGTTTAATAATAACCAACCAGCACATATATTTGTCCTGAACATCAAGGCCGACGCATTCACAAGTGAGTAAACACTACTGGGGTCTGGTTGGTTTGGTGTTGGACTTCAGGCCTTGCTGGTTAAGGCTTGTTGGCGTTAATTGGCGGTTGATCTTACTGATCAACTGGCAAGTATACTTTGGTCTTGAACAAAGTGCAGAACAAACGTCAACTCAGTATATACATAGAATCAGGGGCATACCTATCGATATATTATATATATATATATATATATATATATATATATATAATATATATATATATATATATATATATATATATATATATCACGAAATATATATATATATATACTATATATACATATATGTATATATTTATATATATATATATATATATATATAATGTAATTGAAAATGTAATAAGTTAATACGAAACGCGTTCAAGTGTCGCGTCAGATTAGAAATAAAAATGAATTTTGGAGAACTGATTTTTCAATTACCATCGACAGTGAAAAGAACCGTAAGAAATATTGAGAAAATTCATGTTAGAATTATTAATCTTACTTTTTCGGTCATATTTAATAATATATGTCTACAGGGAAGACTGCTACCAATATATATATATATATATATATATATATATATATATATATATATATATATATATAATATATATAATATGTCGTACCTAGTAGCCAGAACTCACTTCTGAGCCTACTATGCAAGGCCCGATTTGCCTAATAAGCCAAGTTTTCATGAATTAATTGCTTTTCGACTACCTAACCTACCTAACCTAACCTAACCTAACTTTTTCGGCTACCTAACCTAACCTAACTTATAAAGATAGGTTAGGTTAGGTTAGGTAGGGTTGGTTAGGTTCGGTCATATATCTACGTTAATTTTAACTCCAATAAAAAAAAATTGACCTCTTACATAATGAAATGGGTTTCTTTATCATTTCATAAGAAAAAAATAGAGGTCGTCGAAATATATTAATTCATGAAAACTTGGCTTATTAGGCAAATTGGGCCTTGCATTGTAGGCTGAAAACATATATATATATATATATATATATATATATATATATATATATATATATATATATATATATATGTGAGTTCTGGCTACTAGGTACGACATAAAAAGGAAGTGATAGCCGAGGGTATATATATATATATATATATATATATATATATATATATATATATATATATATATATATATATATATATATATATATAAATATATATATATGGTCAAGCGGATTAAGGCTGTATCTGTTGAAACGGGGGTTCATTGAACAGTGAATTAATCATTAACTTATTTTCAGAAATTAGACCCAATTTTTCATTACTGTTACAGAAGTTTCCAAGATTTGTATCAACATTCGTCGTCTTGTAAATTAATATCGCCTTAAGCATGCGGAAATGTTTAGTGTGAATCAAATGCTGTTGAGGTCACTTTTTCTGGCTCATCTCCGTCCTCCCTTGTGTGACCTATGACCCCAGCTTGTTGTGAAATGCAAATATAAGACATTGTCTCTTACGCTGCTTTCTGGGTTATGCAATTATGCTCAATCAAGGGAGAGATAAAGTGGACATGTGAGGAGGGAAGAGAAGATGGGGGGTAGAGGGGAGATGTACATGTAATTCACTTGTAATTCACTTAATTACCTCTACATGTAATGTAGAGGTAATGTCTGTAATCATTATCATAGTTTTGTGTATCTTAGAAAGAGTACAGTAAATCCAAAAGTACATTTGAAAATTAGCCATGTCTGGTAAGCTTTTGGACACCGGAGCGAAAGTTTACAAATGGATGGTTCTTACTAAAACTAGAATACAATACATATGGTTCCTACAAGGAGGCAATGATCAAACTGAGAAACGTTAGGACTTGAGGGCACGGAATGCTGCCAGGTAAGAGGCACAAGTTCAATGCAAGTGTTGAAAGTTTTTGTTTGGAACAATGACTGAAGACACTCAGTGAGTCATGGAACCGTACACAAACCCCCCTGGTACACTCGCTCTCCTCCCCCCCCCCCTGGTACACTCGCTCTCCTCCCTCACCCCCCCTCCTCTACTCAAATCTACCACCCTCATCCAACCTCCACTCAACCAATCATCACCTCCGCCTCAGGGCAAACCAGTTTCATCCTCTCCACAGCTGCATTAGAGCATTGTTGCCAGATTGGGCTAAAATTAGCGAATTGGGCTACTTTAGAGAGCTCAGCGCTCTTAAATTTTTTATTCTCGCTACTTGCGACTTTTTTGGCCTGATTTAAAAATAAGACAACGCTTGCATTTAGGATAAGACGGAGGGGAGAGAGAGAGAGAGAGAGAGAGAGAGAGAGAGAGAGAGAGAGAGAGAGAGAGAGAGAGAGAGAGAGAGAGAGAGAGAGAGAAAGAGAAGAGAGAGAGAGAGAGAGAGAGAGAGAGAGAGAGAGAGAGAGAGAGAGAGAGAGAGAGAGAGAGAGAGAGAGTCTAATTATTAGACTCTCTCTCTCTCTCTCTCTCTCTTCCATCCGTCCTATCTTAAATGCAAGTATTGCATGAATAGTAATGGCTTAGTGCTCGCTTCTGATCTTACCTTCACTTAACCTTAAAATATTAACTACATCAAAATCTACAATAGCACCCTACGACAGTCAATGTACAAGGAAGTGTACACACACATCAACTTAATAAGGATCATATTTGATCCACTCGACTACCTCGTCAGCTTACTCAACACACCCCAACATTACTAAACATCCTCGCTTCACACACACACACACACACACACACACACACACACACACACACACACACACACACACTCCCTAACATCGCTCCCAAACACCATTTCCAAGCATCACACCACTTCCTAAAATCACTCCACACACTCCAACACTGTTCAGCATTACTCCACAACTGAAACATTAAAATCACTGTACAATAAAAGAAATACTCTGCCCGAAACGCTTTGCGTAATAGAGGCTTTAGGCATTGCATGTACTAGCTCTATCTATAAATCTATGTAAAACCTCTTGTATATATGTACTTTACCTGAATAAACATTTATTTAATTATTATTTATACTCAAAGGTGTCTAATCCTTGGAATGCGTAATTCTCTCAGCCATAAGTCATTTCATTGCACAATTTTTGACTGTGGTGTTAGGTTGGAACTATTAACCGCTGAAGGGTTGTTACAACCCTTCCTCCTAATAGAGCGTCGCATTTTGACGCATATTCTTCATAATGTCAAAAATCGTCGGACTATAAAATAGTAGTGGCTCGCGAAATTTACATACTGTCCCGTTTTCTGTTTTGGGTCCTCTGTTTTGGGTTTTGGTAGGTTAGGATAGGTGACTTTAAGTAATGGTAATGTCTTCTATGGTTGTCTTCTATTATGTCTTCTCACAGACATAATAACATAGGATAAAAAGACCCACTTATGTATTTGTGAAATTGATGTAAAGATTTACACCAAGTCTTTCGCACTCTCCTGAGTGCTTTGTCAAAGTCTGAGTGTAAAGTTAAGACGAGACTTAAAACTTAAATACTAATGCCTTTTATTTGTGACTTACATCTCAACGAAATTAATGGTTGAAATTTAAGTCTCGTCCTAACCACACATTCAGACCTTGACACAGCACTCAAGAGAGTACGAAAGACTGGGTATAAATCTTGACATAAATTTCACAAATACATTAATGTGGATTTTTAATCATAAAGTCTTTAGTACGTACAGTTTCTTTATGTTGGGAAACCTTAAGAAGAAGGATTGTGTTAAGACCAACTCACTATATTATTAATTAATCAACAAATATATTTTCGTCATGAGCATAATTAAAAAATAAAGTAAACTCTCAATGTGCATAAAGGAATGCATAAAATATTAACAAAAAAATTAAGCATTCTTTGATAATTTTCTTGGCAAATGAAAGATAAAATTTAATACTACGTTTAGTATATATTATATACTAAATGTGTTATGTATGGTATCGAAGAGATTTTAGCTCTTGGACCCCGCCTTTCTAACCCAATCTATTAATCTGTAAGATATACCACTCTCATTACTGTAGAAACTAAGCCAGAATTATAACAAAGTAGAAATTCTACATAAACATTATATACTAATGCCGACACACCTTTCTTTAAACTGTATCTAACTATGCAATTTTTCCTATTAAATAGTTTCGTCCACATAACTATCAACATAAGTTTGTCACTTGTTTGTTCTTGAAATATATTGTTAAATAAACTGAGCCAAATGTTTGAAGGAACTTTATATTTTCTTTATAAGACAGAACGGATGTCGCCGCTGCCTGGGATGGATCAGAGCGAGAGTGGTGGTGGTGGCGGGTGTGAGGTGTGTGTAGTCCGCCCATCACTCAACATTACTCAGCGGGCCTCCAAGTACCACTATTGTCCACCACCTGACCCAGGTAATGTCTGCCCACCACCTGACCCAGGTAATGTCTGCCCACCACCTGACCCAGGTAATGTCTGCCCACCACCTGACCCAGGTAATGTCTGCCCACCACCTGGCCCAGGTAATGTCTGCCCACCACCTGACCCAGGTAATGTCTGCCCACCACCTGACCCCAGGTAATGTCTGCCCACCACCTGACCCAGGTAATGTCTGCCCACCACCTGACCCAGGTAATGTCTGCCCACCACCTGACCCAGGTAATGTCTGTCCACCACCTGACCCAGGTAATGTCTGCCCACCATCTGACCCAGGTAATGTCTGCCCACCACCTGACCCAGGTAATGTCTGCCCACCACCTGACCCCAGGTAATGTCTGCCCACCACCTGACCCAGGTAATGTCTACAGAATCGAGTTATAAGCTCTTGGACCCCGCCTTTCTAACCAATCTATTTTTCCTCATATATTTCTCTAACATACTCACATGCACAACCCCAGAAAGCAGCCCTTAGCAGCTGACTAACCCCCAGGTACCTATTTACTGTTAGGTGAACAGGCGCATCAGGGCGAAAGACACTCTGTCCATCTGATTTTGCCTCGGTCGGGAATCTAACCCTTAGGATTATGACCCCTGAGCGCTATCCACTCAGCCGCGAGGCACCCTCGTGGCTGCTACTCCTGTTATGTGTGTAATTACCTAAGTGTAGTTACAGGATGAGAGCTACGCTCGTAGTGTCCCGTCTTCTGCGTATTATATATATTTATATTTTTTTTTACTTAGGTCTGCTTGAAAGTCTTCGAACCAAAGTGAAAGAGACGTGTTCGTGTTCTGGAGGGTGTGTAGTATCAGCAGTGAAGGCCCGGGTGCCCATCCTCTCCTGGCTGCCCAACTATGATGTCCGCTCCTCTCTGCTGGGCGACGTGGTGGCCGGCGTCACCGTAGCCATAATGAACATTCCAGTGGGTGAGTATTCACTTGGTTTAATATATTTAACCACGTAGCCTATGTTCTTGATATTAGGCATCTCTCTCTTACTGTAAGTTATCTGCGAGTTCCATCCTTTATTTTAGTAAATACACCAACTGTGGGGCAGCCAGCTAACCATGAGACAGCCATCTATTCCTGGGGGCAGATGTCAACTCCTAGGGCAGTCATCTATTCCTGGGGCAGATGTCAACTCCTAGGGCAGTCATCTATTCCTGGGGCAGATGTCAACTCCTGGGGCAGTCATCTATTTCTGGGAGCAGATGACAACTCCTAGGGCAGCCATCTATTCCTGGGGGCAGATGTCAATTCCTAGGGCAGTCATCTATTTCTGGGAGCAGATGACAACTCCTAGGGCAGTCATCTATTCCTGGGAGCAGATGTCAATTCCTAGGGCAGTCATCTATTTCTGGGGCAGATGTCAACTCCTAGGGCAGTCATCTATTTCTGGGAGCAGATGTCAACTCCTAGGGCACTCATCTATTCCTGGGAGCAGATGTCAATTCCTAGGGCAGTCATCTATTCCTGGGAGCAGATGTCAATTCCTAGGGCAGTCATCTATTCCTGGGAGCAGATGTCAATTCCTAGGGCAGTCATCTATTCCTGGGAGCAGATGTCAATTCCTAGGGCAGTCATCTATTCCTGGGAGCAGATGTCAATTCCTAGGGCAGTCATCTATTCCTGGGGCAGATGTCAACTCCTAGGGCACTCATCTATTCCTGGGGGCAGATGTCAACTCCTGGGGCAGCCATCTATTCCTGGGGGCAGCAATCTATTTCTAGGGCAGCCATCTAGTCTTGTTCCACCCAGCCATCCTTGGGGCAGCCAGCTATACCTTGGGCAGCCACCTTCCTGCAGTTGAGCCAGTTGTGAGGTGAGAAATGATGGCTTCCTGTATTATATCCGCTTGCATCAGGCGCAGTCAGGCGCATATCAGGCGCAGTCTGTACAATCCGCGGAATCCACAAGTGTCCGCAGCAGTAGACTAAAACCATCTTCACATGAATATTTTTGCTCGTGTTTTTTTTTTATTGAAATACTATTTAAATGCTTCAGGTATGGGATACGTGCTGCTAGGCGACATGCCGCCCATAACTGGGATATATATGGCCTTCTTCCCTGTGCTTATATATGCGCTACTCGGTACGGCACGACATTCTTCAATTGGTAGGTTTAAGATGTTTATATAACCATTTGTTTATATATATATATATATATATATATATATATATATATATATATATATATATATATATATATATATATATATGAGCTATGTTCAGCATAACTCTGAGCAGTGTTCACAAGTTAGGTATACTTACTGGTTGTTCAGTAAGCATTTAAGATTAAGTAAGCCTTAATAACCCTCTAGTGGTTAATAGGAATTAAGCCCATCACCAGTGAGAATTTACAGTGAAGACCAGAATGTAATATATTATAGTTACCGATGAATAGATTGAGGGGTATCCTTGTTATAAGATGGAAGATAACCACAGTTGAAAAGACTTTACCTCCCATTTTTTCAAATGTGGTTATCTTGCATTTAACAGTGCAGCGGTTCTTGATCTCTTTTTGTTAGTACGAGATATATATATAAATAGGATGTCTTTTTAATATCGATATCTACATAAAGTTTATTGATATATCATTTGAAATACATATAATATAGGTATTTACAAGTATTTTAGAGATATACTTAATGTTTTCTAATCATGTTTTCTAATCATTTCATGTTTTCTAATCATTTCATGTTTTCTAATCATTTCATGTTTACTAATCATTTCATGTTTTCTAATCATTTCATGTTTTCTAATCATTTCATGTTTTCTAATCATTTCATGTTTACTAATCATTTCATGTTTTCTAATCATTTCATGTTTTCTAATCATTTCATGTTTTCTAATCATTTCATGTTTTCTAATCATTTCATGTTTTCTAATCATTTCATGTTTTCTAATCATTTCATGTTTTCTAATCATTTCATATTTTCTAATCATTTTATGATTCTCAGGATCATTCGGAGTAGTGTGCCTGATGACTGGGAAGGTCCTTGATGAATTCACAGCAGCTCAGACCGCCTCTACCATACCGCCTCTGGTCGGAAATATTACTAATGATTTGCCTCCCAGCACTACAAGGATATATACTCGTATGGAGGTGGCGACAGTTTTAGCGCTCATGAATGGAATAGTGGAGGTATGATGAAACTTTTTTTATTTATATATAGTGTAATAATTTTTGTATCTGGGTGAGTGTAATTTTCTGAGTGTAATTTTCTAAGTGCTTATGCTTAAAAAGTATAGAAAATGGCTATTGAACCCCGTCAAACTTAGCTTTTGTAACCGCATTTTTTCATGCACAAATTTTCATGCAAATGCAAAAAAATCTCATTTTTCTACTACAAATAAATTATTTTTGCAGATTAAAAATGAATATATTTGCAAATTATTGAATTTAATACATGAATTACTTCGTTACAAATCAATATTTTTCTTCAGATCGTTCTGGGTTTGTTGAAGTTAGGAAGTTTGTGTGTTTACCTCTCTGATATGTTGGTGTCTGGCTTCACCACGGGGGCCGCTTTCCACATTCTGGCCTCACAAGTCCCAAGTCTCCTTGGTATCAAAATCCAGTCATACAATGGCCCGTTGAAAGTCATTTATGTAAGTAACTTTCAATTATGTCGACCAGAACACACACTATAGGGTGAAGGGACGACGACGTTTCGGTCCGTCCTGGACCATTATCAGGTCGATTGTGACAATCAACTTGAGAATGGTCCATAATCGACTTGAGAATGGTTGGCAATCGACTTGAGAATGGTCCACAATCGACTTGAGAATGGTCCACAAAATCGACTTGAGAATGGTCCACAATCGACTTGAGAATGGTCCACAATCGACTTGAGAATGGTCCACAATCGACTTGAGAATGGTCCACAATCGACTTGAGAATGGTCCACAATCGACTTGAGAATGGTCCACAATCGACTTGAGAATGGTCCACAATTGACTTGAGAATGGTCCAGGACGGACCGAAACGTCGTCGTCCCTTCACTTTCTAGTGTGTGGTTTGGTCAACATATTTCAGCCACGTTATTATGACTCCTCGTCTTCCAATATGTCCATTTATAGAGACTAATTTATTGCCGAGATATACATACTGAACGAGAGACTTGCTGGAAATTCTCTTGGTCAATCAAGTTCAAGTATGTTTATTGAGATAAGCAATAAATACATCTCAAAGGGATAGAGTAGCTTAGGCTATTTCTACCCCCCTTTGGTGAATCTTTTAATTTTTAAAAGTAAAAAATATTAGCAATTCTCAACATTCAGTACAAATTAATGATGGTAATTTAGTTGTGATTTAGGTAACTGTTGTGGGGTTGTTTCCTGGATCTGTTGAATATATCTTAATAATTAGGTATACAGTTTAAGATGTGATGCCCTGCATGAGACTTTGAAAGACTTTCATGCAGGTTAAATAGCTGGTAATAATTGACAAAAAAATATAATCAATGAAGAACTGCTGAGACAAAAGGTCATAACACCAAATTTCTCTAGTTTGGTTATATTTTTGTGTACTGAATTAGTTCATTGATATTCACCTTCTTTCACAGGCATTCCGAGACATCATCAGTCAATTATTATCGTCAAACCCAGCTGTCATGACGATCTCTGGGGTCACCTTCGCTGTTCTCATCTTCAACAATATTTTTATTAAGGTCAGTACTTATTGTTTCATATATCACTGTTAAACAAAATTATCATTTAGTGCTTATTTGTAGCTTATTGTGCTTATTTTTAGCAGATATTGAGTTTTAATTACATAGTTATCGCTATTGATTAAATGACGCCCAGGATAGATCACATTCACGTGAATGTGATCTATCCTGGGCGTCATTTAATCAGTCAGTCATTTACTGATTATCTTCTACGAAGGAAATGGTAAACGGAAATAAACATGAAATCAGTTGCAATACATCTAAAGCAGTTGTAATATTTGTTTTGTGTCAAACAAACACTCCACCAGTAGTATAAAACTAAGCTAAGTAACTTTACTGGACTGTTGTACAGCTAAGAGTGTACAAAAGTCCACTAAGTGTACAACAGTCCACTAACAGAATTATCTAATAGTGCAGGTACAGTAAACTATTTGCAGGCGATGAGTCACAATAACGTGGCTGAAGTATGTTGACCAGACCACACACTAGAAGTTGAAGGGACGACGACGTTTCGGTCCGTCCTGGACCATTCTCAAGTCGATTGTCGACTTGAGAATGGTCCAGGACGGACCGAAACGTCGTTCCTTCAACTTCTAGTGTGTGGTCTGGTCAACATTAAACTATTGTATGAGAATGAGTTTTGCCTCATAAGATACTAATTCATGTTGTTGTTCCCTGGCAGCCTTGGGTTGGTAAGAAAACAAAGATTCCAATTCCCATCGAGCTGATTGTGGTCGTTGCTGGGACGCTGGTGTCGTACCTGGGCGACCTTCATCACACATTTAATATACAAATTTTGGGGGAAATTCCCACAGGGTGAGTATTTTATAATGGACAAAACCACGTTAATTTGCCGTCTAATTTATAAGCTTATTTGTTTATTATAGCATAATTTATTATAATATAGTTTGTGTTTTTGTTAGACCTGATCAGGGTAAGTTAGGTCGAATTGAATTCAGTCTTTAGTCCTGAATATAATTCAGAACTAAAGTAAACTCTGAAAAAAATCATAAACAACAACTTTTCTATTATCGTGTAAATTGAAAATTATTTTTTGTGTTAACAAAAAGACTTATTTCCAGTGTATACTAATATTTTGTAAATAGGTGTTGCAGTGAAAACTATTTGTTACTGGTATTTTCAGTCCATTTCTAACTTTTGTATATACATTGTGAATTTAATTCCAAATCACAATGTAGCGAATGTTGAAACACAATGCAGACGAGGAGTCACAATAACGTGGCTGAAATATATTGACCAAACCACACACTAAAAAGTAAAGGAACGACGACGTTTCGGTCCGTCCTGGACCATTCCAATCGACTTGAGAATGGTCCAGGACGGACCGAAACGTCGTCGTCGTCCCTTCACTTTCTAGTGTGTGGTTTGAAACACAATTCTCGTAATATTGCAATTCTCGTAATTCCCGTTATTGCAGGTTACCCGAGCCTACTGCTCCGCCTTTTGAGTTGATGTCTGTTTTGGCTGTCGACTCTGTGATCATCAGTATTGTGGCATACATGTTGTCTCTCTCTATGGCCAAGATCTTTGCTCAAAAACACAACTATAATGTAGATGCCACTCAAGAACTCTATGCTATGGTAGGATCACGTTTTTATTTATGGAACCAGAATTAAAAGTATTTGAATTTATTGCATGATAAGTATTTTTATTTTTTAAACTAAATGTTATTATTTAAACGAAACATTTATTAATTAAGAACTAATCCAAACTCAGAAAAAAATGTTACTGCAAGGTCTACTTTGAAAGTAGAAAAGTTTGCATGAAAGCAGTACTCATAGGGAGCATACTTTTCATAAGTTTATGTCCCAGTACCTATAGATGTGTTAATACGCATCCAACTTTATCAGCTCTGGCTCATTAATCTTTCACTGTCGCTATGACTTTAGTGAGTATTCTCACGATTCAATATGGCTATAAGCTACAATAACTATAATGGTGAAAAAAATCAAATTGATAGTAAAGAAGCCTACAGTAAGAAACTTGCAAATGTTTGCTATACATTACAGTATTTTGATGATGTACTCATAGATTATACCAGCTGAAAATCAGTCCCTCGTATCCCAGCCCTTATCTTGTCTCCATATCCCATCCATGTACTGTACAATCATACTGGCTCGACACAGTCTCCTAATAATCTTATCTCACAGGGCGCGAGCAATATTTTTGGATCATTCTTCAGTTGCAGTCCCATATGTGCGTCGCTGGCTCGCTCGCTCATCCAGGAAGCTGTAGGTGGAGTAACACAACTGACATCCATCATATGTTGTGGTCTACTGCTGTTTGTCCTGCTCTATGTTGGGCCGGCGTTTGAGACTCTCCCAAATGTGAGTGTTTTGCGGTGTCTTCCTAGTGTCATGGAATTATATGCCATGAGTATGCACTTATGGCAACTTTCATATAATCTCTGTATAAAAATTTTGTTTAAATCGGATTTTTTTCCTCCATAAGTTTCATGTTTTATGATTATAATTTATCTATTGTTGTCATTCTTATTAAATTAAGACTCAATTTTTTAGCAAATAATTTTACTGTACTTTCCTACTCAACATTTGCTATAGATTGATTTAGTTCAAAATTGAACTAAATCAAAATTGATTTAGTTCAAAATTCAAATTTAGTTCAATATTAAAAAATAATGAGATTACAGCCAGTCCCGAATATTAAAATGTTGTCATGAAAAATATCCTAAAACAGTAAAAGAATAAACGTTGTATAATGTATAGACGAGAGAGAGGCGGTCATAGTTATTTACTAAACGTTCTGTTTACCAGCAGTATAGGCAATATTTCAGACTTGGAAAGGCTTCAGTACTAATGTGACTTTTAGGAAATGTCGTTGTGTGATGAATATAATAATTATACAACCCACAAGATAAATTAATACAAGGGTAGTAGAGAGTAGAAAGAGTAGTTTAGGTCAGAAAAGTAGTTCAAGGGAGAAGAAAGAGTAGTCTAAGTCAGAAGAGTAGTTCAAGTGAGAAGAAATAGTTAAAGAGACAAGAAAAAGCCGTTCAAGGAAAAGTAAGAGCGTAGGTAAAGAAAGAGAGAAAGGAAGTAACTTGTTCAAAAGGAGAAAATAGATCAGATCCTTAGGAAAAAATGGATCCTGGACAAAGAATAAAACAGAAAATAAATCTAAAATTCAGACTTCTGAACCAAATTTATAAAAAAAAACATATATGGAGTCAGAATCTGAAAAAGATTCAAATATATAACTGTATTTAGTGAAGGGATGGGCGTATAATAGTGTGCAAGGGAATACTCTTTATATCTTTATAACCGTGTAATTATGAGGGCCAGCAATAGTGATAGCAGAAGAGTATAAAGAAGCTAGAGAAAACGGAAGTATAAGAATGAATGTTAGAGATATCCAACACCATGATGAACGTGTGGAGGATTGAATTCTAAATAATTCCCATAAACGGCATAAAGGATATTGGTTCGTTTTGAAGAACATTTTATTTCGAGCAAGCTCTTAGGGAAACATCTGTAATGGTCTCACACCTGGTGAAGAGTTCCCTATGGGAATAAACCATCGGGTTTAAAGATAGAATATACTTTGCTGTGGTATTAACTCTTTCTTATATTTTAACAGTGTGTTCTTTCGGCTGTCATCATAGTGGCTCTAAGGGGAATGTTTCTGCAAGTGAATGACTTGAGGAAGGTGTGGGCGGCATCTCGTGTTGATGCTCTCATATGGATTGCAACATTCCTTGGTGTGCTAATCATAGACATTGATTACGGTCTGTTGCTGGGCATCGCAGTGTCGCTGGTGGTGCTTCTGGGCCGATCTCAACAACCCAGAACTGCCCGGCTTGGCCGCGTTCCCGACACAGATGTCTACTTAGATGTCAACAAATACTCTGCGGTAAGACTTTTATTGGTGACTAACTATTGCTTCGAGCTTTTTACTAGATTCATAGTTCACGCTGTATGGATCACCATATTATTGCTTCGAGCTTTTTACCAGATTGATAGTTCATGTTGTTCAGACATAGTTCAGACAATCGACTTGAGAATGGTCCAGGACGGACCGAAACGTCGTCGTCCCTTCAACTTCTAGTGTGTGGTCTGGTCAACATAGTTAACGTTGTCTGGATCACCATAATGTAGAAACAGTTGATAAAGTTGTTGAGATTTTAAACTTGATTAGTATTAAAAAATATTTACGTATAACCTGCAGGAGCTGTTAGCGAAAACGTGGATCCTTAATTAAAACTTCTTGATTTTGTGAATAGTAAGTTACCCTTCTTAATAAGAATGTTCACACGGTTCAGCATATCTATTACTGGAAAATATCATTGTGTAAACTTTAATATTATGCGTCAGGTATATGTTCACTGCAAATTGCTTTGCCGTACAGAAAATATATATAAGCATGAAATTGTTGATCTGGACCAGTCATGTTGCATTGACATTAAACTTACATATTTGATTCTGTCTGGTGCTTTGTGTAAATTATGTGTGGTTGACTTCCCAATGGAGATTAATGCAATGATTTGGTGCACACCGACGATACAATATACTGTATAGTAGATACACCGGGAGGTAAACCCCACTTCTTGGTGTACATTACTTTAGCTCTGGATTGTGTCCAGAACTAAAGTCGACTTACTGGTTGGTCAGTAAACTATTGAGGTGGCCTTAATCCTCTATAGGGTTCATAGACCTTAAACTTAATACCAAATAAACCAGAAGTCTCGATTGCTGTTTTGGTGTTTGAAAATGAGACTTACAAGTTTGTTGAGGAGTTAAGACATTCTTCTGGATACATATTCTTCTAAAGACATAATTTGGGGGAATTCAGGAATATTTTGGATACAGATCAAGCGTTTAATTGAACTCAAGGATTACATATTGTTCATGTTTACGGAAACAGAAAAAAAGAAGTAAGGAAATAATAATATTTTAGGAGATGAACCCGATGATGATTTAATATTTTTAGATTTTTGGAGCTACAAACTTTGCTTGACCAAGTTGCTTTATTTATCAATACTAATTTATTAGCCTTTAAAATATAACATTTGAAATACATTTCATGAAGTTTGTCAGCATCGAATGCCATAGACATTATTAAATTTCAAATAATTATAACACTGATTTGTTTTTTTATTTTTGTCTAACAGACAGTAGAACTGTCAGCGGTGAGTATATTTCAATTTAATGGCCCTTTGCATTTTGCAAACTGTGATTATTTCCGCCAACAACTGATCTCTACCACGGGTCTGGAGCCTGTTGCCATCGCCGCCTCTAAGGCCTTACAAGAACACCAACGGCACCTGGATGACCTTAATACCAACCACACCATGGTAAGACTATTATCAATTGTGTTGTCATGGTTAAACCTCTAATGTGACGTGACACGCCGATACATTTCACCTGTGTAACATTCTACAGAGCATGGTGTGATCCTTCCCCAGTCACTTGGGCTGGACGGTAGAGCGACGGTTTCGTTTCATGCAGGTCGGCGTTCAATCCCCGACCGTCCAAGTGGTTAGGCACCATTCCCTCCCCCCTTCCCATCCTAAATCCTTATCCTGATCCCTTCCAAGTGCCATATAGTCGTTATGGCTTGGTGCTCTCTCCTGATAGCTCTCTCCCTTTTAAACACCCTACATGTAGGGCAGGGTGAGACCAACTAATACCTTACACCTGTGAAACACCCTACAGAGCTTAGTGTAACAAGCTGATTCTTTACACTTGCAAGACTTTCCTGTGAAGGGAGACGCTAATAAAGCTGTTGTCACGCCTTAGTGTTATGATTAAACAAATTGGCAAGCCGTCGTAGATTGTGATATGGGCCATTGAGGTTAGCGAGCCCTTCATTAACTTTCGTGAGGGTTTGTGAACTTCTCAGGTGCATGGGGAAGAGTGGCTCCGGAATGTGAGAAAGTGTTCAGGTGTCTGACTTTCTTCAGATCATCTGATGAAATATAATCTGAAATGATTTGTTGTCAAGTTTGAATGTCAACACCGTATGAAAGGTTTGCCTTTCAAAATATGGTGTTGATATACTTGGCAACACATCGTTTCAGATTATATTTTCTTTTTCTTTCATTTCACAATACAATCACACGAATGTGGTATATGGTGCAACTTGGGTGTCCAGGAATATGAGTTTAGGTGTTGAGTCTAGGGCTTCAATACGTCAGCAGAAGACGTAGTGAGTGGTAATCCCACTGCTGCCACCAGTGTTAATCCTTGCTTGACAGTGTGAAGTGGTGTAGTACAAACATCTTTGACCTTTATTATTGATAATAACGCATATAGAAGTATGTGGCCACGTAGATAGCTATCATGAGTGTGAGATGGAGGACCAAGTTGTTCTGCCTTAGTCTATGGGTTCTCATCCTACCTTGGACGAGAATACGATGAGTACCTTATGCTGAAGAAGACACTCATTATACTCTCGTCCAAGGTCGGACGAGGACCCATAGACTAAGGCAGAACACCCTGTTTTAATTGACTAGTCCAGCAACGAGGAGGCCTGGTCGAGGACCGGATACGAGTGTAGGGATATTCAGGCCATCACATACCTTGAGGTGCTTCCGGGGCTTAGTGTCCCCGCGGCCCGGTCGTCAACCAGGCCTCCTGGTTGAATGGTTACATGGTTACAATATGTTCTCATTCAATTTATTATAAGTAATTTTGTTATTCTTCCTTCACTGAATGTCTCGCTGTTAACAAAAAATATCATATATTGCAGGAGATCAATGGAAGTGTTGCTGAAGACGGCAAAAAGATCAACAAGAAATTTAGCTTCCTAAAGAGGAAGTCCACGCTGAAGATCAGTAAACAGGATGAGACTCTGGCTCTCCCGGTAAGTCTCTTCACTCTCAAGTCTCAGTGTTCAGACCCGGTAAGTCTCTTCACTCTGAATGTTTTGCACTAGTAAACTAATCATTTATATTACATTTTGTACATTTAGAGAAAGATTAAGATGAGAGTTAGCGCTATTTGTGGATTCCGGTTCATCTCTAAAGGCAATTAATTTTAATAGGATTAATGATTATATGAAAAAATAGTAAGGAGAGGTGAGATAGTTAAGATGGTGGGGGTGAATGACGGTACGATGGGTTTGGTGATGGCAGGAGGTGAAGGTGAGGTGAAGGTGAATATGAGGTGAATATGAGGTGAATATGAGGTGAAGGTGAGGTGAATGTGAGGTGAATGTGAGGTGAAAGTGAAGTGAAGGTGAGGTGGAGTCTATAGGTGAAAGTGGAGAAGTGGGGTGAAAGTGGAGAAGTGGGGTGAAAGTGGAGAAGTGGGGTGAAAGTAGATGAATCGAGGATTAGGTGATGATGCGATGAGATCAGAAATATGATTGATATTTTACAACAGATATTTTGTATTAATTTTGCAATAAAATTTAGCACTGCTGAATTTGCCTTCATTCTGGTAATGAATTATAAAATATATTTACACAAAATATATATTAAATTAGCCTGATAATAAATTACTTTCTAGCAGGTGCAGTGGCTTGTGATAGAGATGAGTGGAGTGAGTTATACTGACTCTACTGGTGGGAACCTTCTCTCTCAGCTGAGCAAGGAGTACAAGCAAGCAGGAATTACCCTGTGTCTGGCAGCTCTCTCAGGTATGTCACATTTATGTCGAGAGGCAGTAGAGCCTAACCTCAGGTGTGTAGTCTTATAGGCAGTAGAACCTAGCTAGTGTCTCTCATGTAGCCTTATAGGCAGTAGAGCCTAGCTACTTAGATTTGTCACATTTATGTCGAGAGGAAGTAGAGCCTAACCTCAGGTGTCTCAAGAATATAGTCTTATAGGCAGTAAAACCTAGCTAGTGTCTCTCATGTGGCCTTATAGGCAGTAGAGTCTAGCTCTTTATGTAGACTGACAGTAGAGCTTAGAATAGTGTCTCAGGTGACCTACGAGTATGAGAAAGCAGCTTGGCTTTTTTTCTCCTGCAAAGTGAATAGTTCATAAGAAGATCTTTCTTAAGTATTATCATTTTTTACAGGATGGCCAGAATTTTTAAATAATGTTCTGAGAAAGATCCTGCCTTTTAAACAAAGACCAGCTCAGTAGATAGTGGCTGGCTACTTTCTGCAACCCGTTCTTGCAATTTCTTTAAGTCAATATTGACTGATTAAATAAGTGCATATGTGACACACTAATTTATTGTGAATATTTCAGTTTACCTTGAAGGTTACTAAGAAGGTTAGGTAAGGTTAGGTGTTTTCTATGAAGCTTTTCAAGGTAAACTGAAATATTTACAATAAATTAGTATGTCACATATGCACTTATTTAATAAGTCAATATTGACTATAAGAAAGTGCGAGAACGGATTGACTTTCTGTGTGGTTGGCGGTTCGAGGCTCCGAGTGTTCAGGTGAAGGAAAAAAATAATTGATTATATATATATATATATATATATATATATATATATATATATATATATATATATATATATATATATATATATATAATATAGGGGGGGAGTACCACCTCTAGCTGGAAGAAGGGGGACCCATAGCCTCGGAGGAAACCACGCATAACGCATTAGAGGGAATGTTTAGATCCCCTCCAATACAGTTTCATATATATATATATAATATATATATATATGCAATTGACGATCACAAAACACTGATCATTTTATGCGGAAAATCCACAGAGAAATATGAAATGAGGTGAACGTTTCGGCTTTGTTAAAGCCTTTGTCAACACCAGACTGACTAAGGAGAAGGGAGAAGGGGGGAAGATATATAGGCCGACACCTGACCACCCCATCCCAAGGGTTGGTCAGGTGTAATTAACCAAAACAGGTATAGCTTAGCTTAGAATGGTCAAAGAGGATTAAGCGGTCAGAGAATAAGGATGAAAGATTAAAGAAAAGCCTCATGAACACACAATATATGAATATACAATTATAATGAGACATTGTAAGCCTCTCTATCAGAGTTGTTTCTTAAACTGTTGTGCAATATTATAACTTAAAAATGGATCAAGTTTGTACATTCCAGTACTAACATTAAGAAGATTTGGACACTGACTGATTAGAGCAGACTCAATCAAATTCCGTTCCACGAAATCCCCACAATTGGTAATGCTTTTTGCCCCATTCCAGTTAATATTGTGATCGCATAAACTCGTATGTAGATACAATGCATTAGACGTTTGGGCAGTTCTAATACTATAAGCATGTTGTGACAACCGCAATTGTAAGGACTTTCCTGTTTGTCCAAGGTACACAGAATCACAATCATTGCAGGGAATCGAATACACACAACCTGCTGTATCAGGGGAGTTTTTTATTAAATTGGATTTGATCGTACTATTAGTGAACACCAAATTTATATTAAGTTTCTTAAAAATCAGAGACAATTTTTCAAGTCCACTCGCATAAGGTACCACCAATGAGTTAATAATTTTTGGTTTCGCTTTAGGGACGTGATTATAAAACGTACGCTTGGCTTGTACAAACGAGAAATCCAAAAACCTCTTAGGATATTGTAAACTCTTCCCAATTTCATATATTTTAGCAATCTCTTCATCAAAAAACTCAGGGCTGCAAACCCTCAAAGCTCGTAGAAACATTCCTGAAAATACTGCCTGTTTATTAATTTTAATAGGATTAATGATTATATGAAAAAATAGTAAGGAGAGGTGAGATAGTTAAGATGGTGGGGGTGAATGACGGTACGATGGGTTTGGTGATGGCAGGAGGTGAAGGTGAGGTGAAGGTGAATATGAGGTGAATATGAGGTGAATATGAGGTGAAGGTGAGGTGAATGTGAGGTGAATGTGAGGTGAAAGTGAAGTGAAGGTGAGGTGGAGTCTATAGGTGAAAGTGGAGAAGTGGGGTGAAAGTGGAGAAGTGGGGTGAAAGTGGAGAAGTGGGGTGAAAGTAGATGAATCGAGGATTAGGTGATGATGCGATGAGATCAGAAATATGATTGATATTTTACAACAGATATTTTGTATTAATTTTGCAATAAAATTTAGCACTGCTGAATTTGCCTTCATTCTGGTAATGAATTATAAAATATATTTACACAAAATATATATTAAATTAGCCTGATAATAAATTACTTTCTAGCAGGTGCAGTGGCTTGTGATAGAGATGAGTGGAGTGAGTTATACTGACTCTACTGGTGGGAACCTTCTCTCTCAGCTGAGCAAGGAGTACAAGCAAGCAGGAATTACCCTGTGTCTGGCAGCTCTCTCAGGTATGTCACATTTATGTCGAGAGGCAGTAGAGCCTAACCTCAGGTGTGTAGTCTTATAGGCAGTAGAACCTAGCTAGTGTCTCTCATGTAGCCTTATAGGCAGTAGAGCCTAGCTACTTAGATTTGTCACATTTATGTCGAGAGGAAGTAGAGCCTAACCTCAGGTGTCTCAAGAATATAGTCTTATAGGCAGTAAAACCTAGCTAGTGTCTCTCATGTGGCCTTATAGGCAGTAGAGTCTAGCTCTTTATGTAGACTGACAGTAGAGCTTAGAATAGTGTCTCAGGTGACCTACGAGTATGAGAAAGCAGCTTGGCTTTTTTTCTCCTGCAAAGTGAATAGTTCATAAGAAGATCTTTCTTAAGTATTATCATTTTTTACAGGATGGCCAGAATTTTTAAATAATGTTCTGAGAAAGATCCTGCCTTTTAAACAAAGACCAGCTCAGTAGATAGTGGCTGGCTACTTTCTGCAACCCGTTCTTGCAATTTCTTTAAGTCAATATTGACTGATTAAATAAGTGCATATGTGACACACTAATTTATTGTGAATATTTCAGTTTACCTTGAAGGTTACTAAGAAGGTTAGGTAAGGTTAGGTGTTTTCTATGAAGCTTTTCAAGGTAAACTGAAATATTTACAATAAATTAGTATGTCACATATGCACTTATTTAATAAGTCAATATTGACTATAAGAAAGTGCGAGAACGGATTGACTTTCTGTGTGGTTGGCGGTTCGAGGCTCCGAGTGTTCAGGTGAAGGAAAAAATAATTGATTATATATATATATATATATATATATATATATATATATATATATATATATATATATATATATATATATATATATATAATATAGGGGAGTACCACCTCTAGCTGGAAGAAGGGGGAATATATATATATATAATATATATATATATGCAATTGACGATCACAAAACACTGATCATTTTATGCGGAAAATCCACAGAGAAATATGAAATGAGGTGAACGTTTCGGCTTTGTTAAAGCCTTTGTCAACACCAGACTGACTAAGGAGAAGGGAGAAGGGGGGAAGATATATAGGCCGACACCTGACCACCCCATCCCAAGGGTTGGTCAGGTGTAATTAACCAAAAACAGGTATAGCTTAGCTTAGAATGGTCAAAGAGGATTAAGCGGTCAGAGAATAAGGATGAAAGATTAAAGAAAAGCCTCATGAACACACAATATATGAATATACAATTATAATGAGACATTGTAAGCCTCTCTATCAGAGTTGTTTCTTAAACTGTTGTGCAATATTATAACTTAAAAATGGATCAAGTTTGTACATTCCAGTACTAACATTAAGAAGATTTGGACACTGACTGATTAGAGCAGACTCAATCAAATTCCGTTCCACGAAATCCCCACAATTGGTAATGCTTTTTGCCCCATTCCAGTTAATATTGTGATCGCATAAACTCGTATGTAGATACAATGCATTAGACGTTTGGGCAGTTCTAATACTATAAGCATGTTGTGACAACCGCAATTGTAAGGACTTTCCTGTTTGTCCAAGGTACACAGAATCACAATCATTGCAGGGAATCGAATACACACAACCTGCTGTATCAGGGGAGTTTTTTATTAAATTGGATTTGATCGTACTATTAGTGAACACCAAATTTATATTAAGTTTCTTAAAAATCAGAGACAATTTTTCAAGTCCACTCGCATAAGGTACCACCAATGAGTTAATAATTTTTGGTTTCGCTTTAGGGACGTGATTATAAAACGTACGCTTGGCTTGTACAAACGAGAAATCCAAAAACCTCTTAGGATATTGTAAACTCTTCCCAATTTCATATATTTTAGCAATCTCTTCATCAAAAAACTCAGGGCTGCAAACCCTCAAAGCTCGTAGAAACATTCCTGAAAATACTGCCTGTTTAACTTTACTATGATGATTC